TCCCCAGCCAGTAGCTGGCGTTTTCTATTCATAGGAGGAGTTACGAGTGCCGCTTGCTAGCGCTGCCTTGGAAATCAAGGTTTGTTTTTGCACCAGAGCATTCAAGGCAAAGTCAAAGGGCATGAAGATGTAGTGCAGCTCAGGCAGCGGTCAGGGACTCTGCGTGTATCCCATACCTCTGGTATCTAATTAAGAGGGGAAAAGAAGTTACAAAATCCAAATAGTACTATTAGGACTGAGAATCAAGCCCGATGTGTTTCCTCCTTGGTAAACTAAAAAGAAGCCACAAAGCTGAGTGTGCCTGTGCTGTGCTGGAGGAGAAATCATCCTGTCCCAAATCCTGCTGCCTTTCCTCTAGCAGCTGTGCTTGATCTTGGAGGTAGTGGTGGTTAAAAACCCCACACCCAAGGAACTGCTGTCCTAAATAAACCTGCTAATTATTGGGTGCCAGTATTATGGCAGTGCCCCCAGGCCCTGCTCCGGGTTCCCCCGTGCAGGTGGGCTGGGATCTCCCGGCACGCTGCCGGAGCGGAGGTGCAGCCTTGGTGGTGGGCTGGAGGGGCCGGGGGTCCCCAGGGCAGCGCTTGCTGCGGGATCCCTGTCATTCCCCGTATGTGCCAGTGCATGGTTTAGTGGTGTAGCCAGAAGAGAGTTTTAAAAGTGAAAAATTTTGATACTTTCTGCAGTGTGCTCCATCCCCAAATTTAGCCAGGACTGGCCCCAGTCCTCTCTCTTAAGTGACCTGGACCCTCTGCCCCTTCCCAAACAGTCCCTTTTGCTGCTGATCAGGTTTAGGGATTTAGGGGGGGAGGAGGGTGTTTTCTCCCCTCCCCACTAGCCAGACAGGGAGGGGAATGAGGAAGCAGCAAGGGTGTCTTTTCATTCTGCTAAATCCTGCAGAACGTGCCTACATGAGACTGTTAAGCTCCTGATCAGTAATTACACACTGCAGCTCTGCCTTTAATCGGGATGAAAGACTTAAGGAAACTCCTTTGCCCCTGGTCTCTACCTTTTACCTGGAAACTTTATTGCTGTGAATATTAGTAACAGGACCAGCGGCAGGAGCTCAGCTCTCGGGTTTGTGCAGAGTGTGGGAGCTCGTGCAGCCTTTCCAGCTCCTTACTGCTTTGGCCCTGCTTCTCTGAGCAATTATTTCATGCTGTCTTTAGAAAGTAGAAAGAAGAAGAAACCAAGGGGATGTCTGGGCAGACACCGGCTTGGTTGTGGTTGCAGTGGCAATTCTTGAGGTCCCAATTCTGCAAGTGGCTGGTTTGTTTGCAGCTTTGTTAGGCATGGCTCCAAGAAAGCAAGAGGTTAGGAGATATGTGCTGCAAGCCCTGCCGCAATCCTGCCTCCTTATCAGCGCCTCGGAACCCCGGGGTGAATAACCCCTTGGCAGCATGTGTGTGCTGACAGCTCCCTCGCTGCTGGCCCTGGGGACCGGGGCGGCTCAGGGTGGCCTCTGCTCGGGGGAGCCACCTCCTGCCATGCAGAGCTTGGCCTGAGCCCCCCCAATCTTGGGATCTTGTTGGGTTTTTGCAGATCAAAATGTAAAAATAATCATGAAACAGCCTGACCCGTTGGTAAATGCAGAGCTGAAGGTCTGCCCGTGTTCAGTGCTGAGCACGCGGTAAAGGTTTGCAGAATTGGGAGTTTATGAATTTAGTTCTCAACCTTAGTCCTGGTTTTACCAACAGATGTGGGTGAAGTTTGTTGTGTCGGAGGGTTTGTTGGTCTTACTCTAAATCTGGCGTGAGGTCCACAGATAACCACGTTTGCGGCTCTGAAGTTGATGCAATTCTGAGTTAAGGTGGAAACTGCGCTGCGAACTCCTTTGGGAATGGGGAGGGCCAGGCTTTGGATTTTAGCCACCTCGCTAATCAGATCTCATCTTTTTTTTCCTTTACAGAAACCAGGCAATGCGGAAAAAGTTAATTTTGTACTTTAAGAGGAGAAATCATGCTCGCAAACAGTGGGTGAGTGATTCCCCTATACCTTATTTTATATGTATAAAGCAGCGTAATTTATTGTGTGAGAAAGAAAAGGATGTTTTCCAGCAGAGGAGTGCTGGCGCTCAGTAGTTTGCCCGTTGCATTGCTGTGGCATCTCTTATGCTTAAAATAACTTGGATGTAAAGAAGAGGTCCTCGATCCTGCTGCAGGCAGCACCTCCCTCCGCGAGTACCCCCTGCAGAGCAAATACACGGGGTTGGCTTAATCACTGCAGAGCCCTTCACTGATCTCAGAGAGCCTATTCACAGCATAAATGTCTATTTTGTGAGTAATTGAACCTGAGAGAGGTGTGAAACAAGCTGACTCTGCTTCCGATAAATGGTCTGAAGACTGATCTGACTCTTTCCAGCTGACCACAGAGCGCGATGTTCTAGGAATTTGTGGTTTAAAACAAAAATGAAGCTCTGCGCCAGTTCATTTCTAGGCAGCTTTGCCTGTGAGATAGTTCCAGTGTCCTTCAAGGAGGCGGTTCTTGGTTAGGTAAGGGGGAAGGTGGGGTTTATTATGAGACTTCAAAGGAGTTTGTTGCAAGTCCCTGGTAAATAGAGGAGAAGGTTCAAGTGGGATTTACAGAATTTATACGGTTTTGGTGCTGACGATTGCCTGCGGTAGTCACCAGCGGGAGCTGGGAGGCAAAACCAGCACAGAAGGGGAAATTTCCAGAACCAACCGGCCCCCACCAGGGAGGTGGATTTTGCAGCGTCTTTCTGCAAAGGGCGATTCAGCTCATGACGCAGAGCTTCGTGTTTTACGTGGAAGATGTAAATACTGGTTCCTGACTCGGTGTCTCCGTTCTGGGGCAGGCTCAGGTGCCAGTGTTAGGGTCTTGAGTTGCAAATGGTGCAGGTTTTCTCAATGTCTTTGGTGCTGGTTTTGGTCAGAAGTGCTCTGGCTGGGAGGAATTGTTGGAAAAATTCAAAATAATCAGCCTGGGAAGTGGTTTGAAGGCTCTGCCTTTAAAAGCAGCTTTCAATACAGACATTTCTGAGCCAGTGATCAAATTATTTTCTTATTTGTGGTGAATAAAGGCATGTTCCTTTTCTTTCCCGTGCTTCATTTTTCTCCCCTGTTTTGTAGCAATCTTCCAAAAGCCACAGATCTTGTGCTCCAAAGGGACGGTTGTCTCTCCTGTTTGTGTCCAAATGTGTGTTTGTTTAGCCTTTTCCATGATAAAACTTCTTCCAGGTTTCTAGCAAGGGGCTGCAGAGCTTACACCTTCAGCACAACCCGGCGTGGCAGTCGGGTGCTGTTCAGGGCACCTCGCCTGCCGCAGCTGAGGACTTCTGCAGTTGTGGGAAGCGGATCAATATTCCCTTCCTCAAAACAGAGATTGCAAAGCATTGTGTGGTTTTATTGGAACCAGAAGGGAACTGCCTAGGAGCTGCTTTCTGGTGGAAACGGCCAATTACTGCACTAAATCTAGAGTGAGTCGCTCAGTCGTGAATATCGAGGAGCTGGGAGAAAAGGTTTAATTAAGCTGCAAGAGCACGGTCCCTAAAATACGGCTTGCAGTAAAGTCGCCTGTCATGCAAAATAGGTGAATTTCTGCCAGCCGGTTTGTTCAGTGTCCTTGAAAGGGGATTTTTCAGTTTAGGGAAGCATTTTGCCTATTCTACAAAATAGGCAACATACGGTTGCTGAATTTGCAAAGTGAATACATTTGCTGATTCTGTTTGCAAAATGGGTACACTTAGCTATTTTTCTGCCTATATTGTAGCAGACCCTATTTTTAGCAAAGCCCATCTATCTGCCAACGTTTCTTTCTGGCTCTTTTACTTTCTGAGGTGTTGTTACTGCCCAGGGCTGGCTGGAGCAGGGTCAGAGCTCGGTCCCTGCAGGGTCCAGCCCTGAGAGCCCCACCAGAGGATCTGCAGGGCTTCCTCCTGCCTCCACCGAGGTTGGCACAGCAGAAGACGTTTGATTGCCATCAGAGGGGTGATGCTGCAGAGAGAGAAGGGTAAAGGGAGCTGTTCTGGCTGTAAGAGCTTTATCTCCATCAGCCAGGGAAACAAAACCGTGGGGCTTGCATAGGAATTGGACTGGTTCCTCCTGTCACCTTCGCTCTTCCCCTCCCCTCCGAAGAGCTGCTCCATCCCCTGGAGCTGCGAGAGCGTGGGCTGCGGGAGGGCTCGGGCTTGGCACAGCCTACAAACTGCCTTCAGCTGCTACGGCGGCGTTACTATTCATCCATTTTTAGATACGCATGTCAAGTCCGATTTGGCTCGCCATCACTTATTTGTGTGATTGAGAGGCTGTGGGCTGGTGAGCCCAGCTGGGAAGGGGAGCAGGGAAAGCACCGATGCTAAAAGCCGGCACAGGCGGTTGCTCAGGAACGGACATACTTGCTTAAGGCTGCTCAGAGGATGCTTGAAGAAGGAATAGATGCTTCTGCTCCTGAAGTGCCTGACCGGGAGCTTCTCCTGGTGATTGAGCTGTGAAGATCTGGGGAGCGCGCAGTGCTATAAGGTGCCTGTAATCTTGGCTTTTGAAGGATGGCAAAAGGTTGCAGGGAGCATGTATCCCAGCTGGACCAAAAAGCGCTAGACAGGGATGCTGCAGACCAGCCCCACTCTGGGGGGGTTTGAAGCTTGCGTGGCGGGAAGGACCTCTTTGCTCCATGGTGGGAAGGGGCTTTAAGAAAGCAGATGCAAGTCAGAAGCGCACAGGCGGTCCGTAACAGAGCTGTTCTCTGGTGGGCTGAGTTGTGTGAGCTTTGGTACTGCCCACCCCGCTGCCGGGGTGTGAGCTACTGAGGAAATCAGGAGTGTGATGTTGATGTTGCTTTTTCCATCTGCAAGTACCAGTTCCTTAAAAGAGGAATTCTGGATAAAGCTTTCATCCAGTTTTCCCAAAGAGTGGAGGAAAAGGAAGAAAAAGAGCCTCCCCGCTGGCTGCGAAACAGCCCGGCGGCCGTGCCAGGCGGCTCTGCCGGCGCGGTGGCGATGCAGGACCCAGTGCTGGCTCATTCCCACAGGGAATGAAAAACCTTTCAAAGCCTTGAAGCTTCTCACCAGACCGAGCTCTCGTGCTGGGCTGTCCCCGAGCTGTGCCGTGGGCTGGCATGCAGCACGGGGCACCGGCACTGAGGCTTGATAAACTTTGCGGGGTATTTTTAGCCTCTTCCCAAATGCGATGCTCTGAAGCAGGAGGACGTAGCAGATTTGCTGGCGGGGTGGGAGCTCTCGTTTTCAGGAGGGCTGGTAGCATCGCTTCAGGAGGGGTAAAAACACAGCAGCTGTGATTTCTCCGAGCTGCCGTGGTTTGTTGGTGTTACCTCCTCACCCGCAGCGTGAGATTCCCCTTGGTGGCTTTTCGGGCATTTTTATTTTGGTTCTCATTGCTCGATTTCATCTTACGGCCATTTCCTTTAGCTCCTGCCGAACCCCAAGCATCTCCTGTGCATCCCTGCGGGGCAGGAAAACCTCTGGCTCCGGGCATGCAAATGGGAATTAATTTATTTGCAGGGGGGAGTGTTAGTCTGCATCAGCTGCAGGGTTTGAGGTGCTTTGTCCACCCCACATTATTGTCGAGGTGCCTCCAAAAGGACGTGTTCCTGTGCTTGGGTTATTGCCAGGTCCGGGATGGCTGGACCAAACCCACATGCCAGGATCGGCGTGATGCCGGCCATGGGTTGCTGTGGGTGCCTGGCACCAGCAACGGGCCGCGGAGCTGCCGGTGCAGGGGGTCCACGGCACGACTGACCCACTTGGCTTGGGGTAACCCAGCTGCCTCCTGACCTGGAATCGGGCGTTTCCATCGGTTTGGGGTTTTTTGGTTTTTTTTACCTCTCCCCATTTTTTTTTGGTGGCTGAGAGCGAGCGAGACGAGAGCAGCGCGCATCTGGGAAATCCTACAGCCTTGGACTTCCCTCCGGTCGTGGGATGGTGATGGCAGGAGATGAGTTTATTTCTTTGAAATCTGGATTCCCCCGTCTCTGCTGAGGTGCCGAGCGTGCCGGTGCCGAGCCGCCCGTTCTGGAAAGCGGCGTGGGGGGTGGGAGGCGACCTGGGGTTTGCCATTACTTTGCAGAGCGACATCTGCTTTCGCTTCCTGATTTGAGGCCTAGAAGGCCTTTGTTTCACTCAAAATGAAACCTTAAAACCCCCTCTGGTCGCCCAGCTGCTTTCACGTGAGGCTGGGCGCCATCGCTCCTGTCACCGCTGCCACCGTTGGGGACCGTGGCTGGGCATTTTCTTGGTGAGGACCTCGCCTGTCCGAGGGCCTTCTCCTCCAGCAAGAGAGTGGCCGGAGGAGGGAGGAGCAATTCAGGGGGTGGCGGGGGGTGGCTCATTTGAGTTGCAAATGATATTTTAATGTTACGGTTAGCGGGCTGGTCCCATAAATACCAGGGAGAAGTGCGGTGCTGGACCTGTGTGGGCGGCTGGGTGGGTGTGCCATGAGGACATCACCCGGGGGGACATGGCATGGAAACCCCTTGCAGCGCCGCGTTTCGGCAGAGCCTGGGTTTGCTGTCAGCGGGGATGCGCTCGTCCCGCTCCTGAGCCAAAAAGGAGGAGCAACAGCTGGAAAAACACTTCTGCTTTCCAGGACGGTGGAGGAGCTGGGGGCATCACAGCATGGCCGGGCCACCATGCCGTACGGCCTCGGACAGGGGCCGGGTGCCTGGCTCTTGGTTTCAGGGAGCCAGGCCCGTGTGCGGAGCTGCCCTGTGGCCCCAGTCCCATCGGCGTTGCCGGCACGGAGCCGTGAGTGCCAGCGCCGGTGTGTGTGGGTGGGAAGGGGTGCCTGTGTCTGTGGGCGCCTCGGCAAGCCTCTCCCTAGCACGGCGGCTCTGAAACTGCAGCTCTGCTCGCATGGCGGGGACCCGCTCTCCTGCCCTCCTGTGTCCCCTCCCAAGGCCATGTTTCAGTCCCTTCTTGCTTGGTGGCCTCAGGCAGGTGACTTGCCCTCTCCCCGTGTGTGACCAGCCACGTCGGAGCAGGGGCTCCCTCCCCGGCACTGGGGCTTTGGTTGCTGAATCAAGCACCCAAGGAGCTGGAGGATGCTCAGCTGGAAGGTGTGGTGGGTGGGCAAAGCCACGCTGGGCAAGAGTCCTGGTTTCACCAAAGATGTTGGGTCTGGAAGGGAAAAGCCTGAGGGTATCTGATGGCCTGTTTTGAGAATTTACCCTTGGGTTGATCCCAGACCCTGGAGCGTTGTCCATGTCCTAATAAACCATATTTCTTTAAGCAACATGACTCACGCTCAGCCTGAGCAGCCATCGAGGGACAGGTCTGGAGGAGCTGCCCTTCCCAGGCACGTCTCCTGAGCTCCCTCTCTCCCTTTGCCCTTTCAGGAACAGAAGTTTTGCCAGCGCTATGACCAGCTGATGGAGGCCTGGGAAAAAAAAGTGGAGCGCATCGAAAATAACCCCCGGCGCCGTGCCAAAGAGAGCAAAGTGCGGGAATACTATGAGAAGCAATTCCCGGAGATCCGGAAGCAGCGGGAACTGCAAGAGCGCATGCAGAGGTTAGAGGAGAAGCGGTAGGAAGGGGCTGAGCTGGTATCGGACAGCCTTTCTCTTTTCTTTGGGGATGGGTGTGGGGAGGTTCATGGGAGGAGCGGGCTGGGATGGCTGTCGGTCCCTTTTCTCCCCTTCTAGTCGAAGGCAGAAGCCAGCAGACAAGCAGCTTTGCTGCTTTTTCCCCAGGGTGGCTCAGCACAGAGCCAAGAGAGAAGGAAAAATATCGGGAATGTGGTTGCCCATCTCCCCTCTGCTGCTGATCTCCCGGCTGGCCGCGTCGGAGCAAGGGGCAGCTCCCTTGTGCTGGCCGCCTGGCAGGGACAGCGCTAATTACTGCCTTCCTGGTGGGCCTAAATGAAGATGTACAAGACTTGCAGATGGATTTGGTCATGTCGATGATTTAATACGTGCACATGCTTTGATTGGAGCATGGACAGGGAGAGGTTATAGGAATGACCGCAGATGATATGAAAGCAGCAAAGTGTCTCGCTGAAAGGGATGTCCCCTGTCTGTCCCATCCCCTGTCCATTTTCTCCTCCTCATTGGAAAAGCAATTGAGGTCATATTGTTTCCTGCTAGGAGGAGACACGATTTCATGATCTCCACCCTTCTTGCTGAAAACTCCCTGTCCTTCTCATTTCAGCCCTGGGATCTTGCCCAGGGACACCTGATATGTGCAGAACCCAAACCCTTGTGCCAGCATCCCGTCCTTGTGCCCCGCACACAGCTGGATGGGTCCAAACTTCCTAATCGGTGGCTTTATTTTACCTTAAAGAGAAGGGGAGAAATGGTACTGAGAAATGTTTTAACCTTTTATGTGCTTAATAAGAAAATTTTTAATTCCTTGGGATGCACGACTGTTCTGTTGGGTGATATTGGAGGGGAAAGATGTCTGGTTTTGATTTAAAAGTTCCTGCAGCATTTGCAAACCAGATGCGGTGGCACAATGCTAATGCCATTGCTGCGGTGCGATGAACAGGAGAAAATAATGGGGGAAGAGTATGGTTGGGTATGAAATATCCTTCTGTTGTAGTGATCCAGGAGGTGCCTGTTGGCACAGGTAAGGGAGGTTGGTTGAGGCTCTGGACCTGTGAGCCGTAAACCCAGGGGACACAGGGGACAGTGCTCTCTGGGCAGGATTAAGTGCTGCCAGAGCCCACGGGGCTGCAGTGGGCGCCGTTCCCACAGTGTGGGATGGGGTGGCCTGGGTGGGGTGTTGGGATATGGCTATTATGGAGGTCAACAAGGAGGACAACAGGGCCAGTGAGTTATCATGAATGTGGTTTACAAAATGGAGCATCAGTGTCTGAGTGTTTCACTGCCCTTTCCCAGCAGGGTAGGACAGAGGGGCAGTGGCGGGCTCTCCATGTCGGCCGCACGCAGCGAGCACGAGGTGTCAGAAATCATCGACGGGCTCTCAGAACAAGAGGTAAGACAGGGTTGTCCTTTTTCCTCCTCTTCGCCCCTCACTCCACTCTTCTCCGGGGAAACCAGGAGAGTACCATCAGGTCCCACACCAGGTCCCATGGTGAAATCAGATACCAAATCCCGCTAACTTCAGGCCGTGCTGAGGTTGGGGAGGTTGCCATGATGCCTAATACGCTTTCTGGACGGGATCCAAAGTGAGGTATTTAATACCCAGCAGCATCTTTTCAGCCTCCCGAGAGATGTAATGGAGCTGTGCAATGGTTCTGCAGGAGCAAAACATGGAGCAAAGTACTCCAGGAACTGGTGGCCAGTGGTTAGGGTTTATCAGCATTCAACTGCCTCTTAGGGACCTGAAACCCCGGCATGCTGCTCATCCTGGGTAGCACCCCGCAAACACCTCCTGGCTGTTGGTTTAAACTGCAAGCAGAGGTGGGAAGGGAAGGGAAGGGAGCTGGCGCCCTGGCTGCCGGGTGGAGGGGTTTTTCTGTTTCGTTTTGTTTTGAATGGGCTGTGCGGCTTGACACAGGGGAATCCTATGGAATGAATGGTTTGTACATGAGCCAGTTGGCCCACTTCTTCTGGGAGTGCTCCATTCATCTTGAAACATCCCCGTGACCTTGGCTTCGTTTGGATCTGGTTTCACAAGGGTTCCACTCTCTTGGC